AATAATCATTAAAGTTTGGATAATATTATACGTTTGTGGTGGTCGTCTGAGCTGACCAGTTCGGAGTAAGGAAACAACGATCTCTGGTTTATTCTTGAGGGTAAAGGTGCAAACTGAGGCAATGTACTTTAGGCAAGATGTAATTGAAAAGGTGGTCGAGATGGGGGATGTAAGCACATTGCAGCCGCGATGTACGCCCTAGAAGATTTTGCCCCACACATCTGGGTTAAGAGATCGAGAGCAAATACTCAAGCGTGCGAACTAAAGAATTTGGTGATCGAGAAAGGCGATTAAAACCTCCTACAAAGGCTTGTTCAAACTTCGGAAATATTGGACTTTTTGTCATGTTGAGGTTTGCGCATCCATTCAAAATCTGAAAGATGTTTTCATTGTTAAAAACTGACATGCCACAAGACAGGATCTTTTTCTCACAGAGTTGGAGCAGTTTTTTATGTTTTTCTCCATTCATTCCTAGGCTCCACATCAAAACAGCAAGATTCTGAGGTAGGCATCTGTGTAGTTTCTCCAAAATACTATCCAGTAATTCAATCTAGGCTTTACTTTTCGCTTGTTTCAGAACCTTCTTCTGTTCTTTATCTTTTTCTATGATCTTTGCAATATTAAAGAGTATAGCGATGCGATTCACAACATCAGTCATATATTTAACCTCCATGAGAAAATCAAGTTGCTTGTCAACTGTTTCCAGTGCATCAATTTTTCTCTCAATGATCATTTTCACTTTGGTTGGACGGAGGGACTTGAGATCTGTTGAATATTCCGAGGCTGGAGGAAACACTAAGACACTTTTACTGTTCACTGTTACTATTCTAACTCTACTTGATGCCCATGAAGCACTGAATATGGCACTAAAATTTTGGTTTGTCCATGCAGACAACTTGCGAGTCATCCATGGAAGCACAAATTGGGGTCGAAAATGTGAAGTCAGAGTTCTCATTCCAAAGAAACCAAACATCCACATTTCTTATCGCCTCTTAAAATCATCAGCATATCATATATCAATTATTCTGAAAAAAAGAGGATTCACAAATAAATGACTTATAATGGAGAAATAAATTACCTTATTTTTTTCTCAGTTCATGAGCGGGCGGTATTCTACGAATCCTGCAATCTGATTGGTTATGAGAGCAGGCAGTATTCACCCCATCTGGCCCGCTCACAGTGGGCGGTATTCATTTTGCTTGAGTCACTTTGCAGAACATCTCAAGCTTTGTTGCAATTTTTCACAGATTTATCTCATTTTGTCAGCTGGGCAGAATTATATAGCAGACTTCGGTCATGACCTTTTGGCGATAAATAATATTAATTCTTTCTTTTCTCTCGCTCTCAAATCACTTTGGTTTTTTTGGCAAAAATTATTTCAAAATAAATTCTGTGGTACTACATTTGCTTATAAAAAGATTGAAACGCGGCCTAGAAACAATTTGTTAATTAATAATCCTTCACAAAAAGTAACTTAGAAAATTAAAATGAAAATAGATGCAGTTAATGACTACACTAATCAATGTGACTCTCAATCGTTAACACCTGAATTCTTTAACACAATTTGTTTATTTTTGAAACATTGAGCAAAGTTTTGAGTTCTATAAATACTCTTTCGCCTATCCTTTGCAATTCCCTTGAATTTGGACATTTCAACCGTAAATTTCACAACAGTAACGAAGGAATTCGATGAACAAAAGTCGCATTAAATCCCATTGTGTCTAGCTGAAAAGAGTCTCATTGACTTCAGCTTTTCAGTGGAAGAAAAACCGATTTACACGCACCATTACAGAAAACAAACAAGCAGACTGACAACTCCAAAACACATATTTGCATTCACTTACAATTTGACTTTCCTTGAAATTTTAAAACGGAACAGAGGTAAATCTTCGAAGATTAATCGTCATTGGAAATAAAAAATACTTTCCGTAAGATCTCTAACTGTTTTTCTTTTTACGAGAAAATCGTGGCATATGGTTTTTCGCGGACTGGACTGGACCGGACTAGTAAAACATGGACTAGTAAAACGCGGACTTGTAAAACGCGGACTAGTAAAACGCGGACTTAACATCAACAACACCAACAAAAAAACAATTTCATACGAAGGCGATCACAAGACTTAATGGCGAGCCAATTTAGTGAGTGACAATCCCTGTTTGACCTTTAAGCTACACATGGGTTTGACATGCACCAGATACAAACGAATTTATAAGTTTAGGCTAAGAAAGAATTTTATTCAGCACCAGTTCAAAATCCTAAAATACACTTTCGTCGTAAATTTCACGGCAGAAACGCAGGAATTCGATGAATAAAAGTCGCATTAAATCTCCTTGTGTCTAGGTAGAAAGAGTCTCATTGACTTCAGCTTTTCGGTGGAAGAATAACCGATTTACACACGCCATTACAGAAAACAAACAAGCAGACTGACCACTCCAAAACACATATTCGCATTCACTTACAATTTGACTTTCCGTGACATTTTAAAACGGAACAGAGGTAAATCTTCGAAGATTAATCGTCGTTGGAAATAAAAAATACTTTTCGTAAGATCTCTGTTTTTCTCTTTACGAGAAAATCGTCGCATGATCACTTATGAGCACACACAAAGA